CGACCGTCCGCCGTCGTCGAGCAGGGCGGGTCTCCGACTTGACGACGAGGCCGGGCGGGACCCCAGCCCCTCCGAAGGCGTCGTCAAGTCGGAGACGGTCGAACTCTGAGGGGAGACTGAGGAGGGAAGACAGCACCACGGCACCGGCGTTGAAGAGACGACCGATGCACAAGCAGTGCGGACAGTATCACAGGCGAGCAGCTGCTCACAACACCGTGTCCGGCTGTACGGGCGTGTCGTCATGTGCACTCAGCCGCTGCAGGCACCAAGTACGCAGTAGCCTCGTCATATAAAGGGGGGGGGGGGGGGGGGGGAATCAGTGACCGAGTGCCGGGTGTGGGTATCTCGTAGCGCATCAAACGCGAGACCGTGATCCGTGTCGCGTGCGCCGTGACCCGTGTGGGTGTGCCCTGTGCCGTGCCATCTCGCATATATGCAAAATTTTCTCTCTGCATGCTACGTTTTCGTGTGAGATCTCCTGAGGAACCTGACTGTCAATCATCGATCTACAAAGTAGAATCGACGAGAGCGAGCGAGAGAGAACGCTCTCAATAAACCGCTAAGAAACCCCGGCGGCATGCCCGGCGGCCCAGGTCGGTGGAGGTCGGCAGGACCCCCCAGCAGGGCCCCAAGGCGCGCGGCGCGAACACACCCGCGCGTCTGGGGGGGCGACCCCCCCATCTTTGTTTACCGATGCGTCCTAGAATGCAAAAACGCATTCTAGGACGCACTTTTCATCTCAAAGATACCATGTGTCTCGGGTACACAGGGCATTCTAGGATGCGATGGCTGTCCTGGAGATTAGCCGCGCCGTGTCTTTTGTTGCGCGTTCCATCTTAGACGCCACAAGCATCTATAGATGCACAGCTGTTCTGAGATGGCACTTGCATACTAGATCACATTTTACTATACTTGGACAGGGAGGCGTCTCAGGAGACACCGTGTGTCGGGTGCACCGGGCACCGAGGGGGGAGCAGGGAGCACGCGGAAAAGGCGGTGTGATCTCTCGGCACCCCCTGCGGGCCCTGCCTTGAGTGCTCGCGTGAGGTCTCTCTCCTCGCGGCCTGCCCCTCCTGGAGAACCAGGTTCTCAGCACCGCGCATGCATCTGCTTGCGCCACGAGCTCTGGGCGCAAAGTTGCATGCACTGCTTACGACGATCCGACGGCGACGCCGCTCCCCCCCCCACCAACCAGTTTGCGCGGCAGGTAGCGGGGCCAGTTCGAGGCTGAGGGCGTGGGCGTGCGCCTAGGGAAGAGACAGCGTACTTCCGAGAGTCGGCCAGAAAGCCCGCGCAGTGGAGCACTTGGAGCACTTTGAGTGCACTTGAGTGGGTTTTCTTGTTTGACTTGGCGATTTGAGGGACCGGGCTGGCGAGTAGAGGCCCCGCCCACCCAGGGTACCCTCTCCGAGGACCCATTGGGTTTCTTTCGAGGGCTCGCCGGGGCTCTGCTCCAAGAGACCTCGAGAGAGCGTGCGTGTGCCTCTACTCGCCAGGGGACCGGGCATCCCGACTGCTCCTGCTTCGACTGCTCCTCGCTCCTCGCTCGGTGAGCTGTCGCCCACCAGCGCGCGGCGACCGCGCGCACACCGTGCCCGCCGGCTCGCCGCCCTCCTCACCACCCGTCGGCGCTGTCCGCAGGCATGTGAGTCAGAACGGCGACCGCGCAGCGCGCGCGGGTGTCTTGCTCGCCACCACCCTCTCGCCCCCGCTCCGTGACCGCCGCCGCCCGCGCCACCGCCGCCGCCAACACCGCCTCGCGCCTCGCGCCTCACCCTCGCCGTCCCCGCCGCCCGCCCTCGACCTCGCGACGGCGTCCTTCTGGGGATCTGCGGGTGGCTTGCCCGCCTCGCCGCCGCCCCCACAGCGTGACCGCTTCCGCTCGATCGGTGAGCCGTCGCCCGCCACGCGCGCTCTCTCACGGCGACCGCGGGCCGCTCATCGCCTCCGCCACGTCGCAGGTGTTTGATCTGGGCAGGAAGCGGCGCTGGTGACGGCAACCGGCAGCCACATGCACGGAGGCTAAGCGAGGTGCCTGTGTCCAAGTCTGAGTAGCCCGTGGCCGTGAGTGGCGTCAGGGGCAGTGTTCTGTGACTGTGTCCTGTGCGTGCTGTTCAGTGTGAGTCGGTGCAGCGGTGGGCCTGCTGCCGCTGCCAGACGAGAGAGCCGCTGTCCGTGCCCCAGCACGTTGCGCGGAGAGGCTATAGGGCGCCCACCCACGAGTGCTCGGGTGGGCGCGCCGCGGCTGTGCGAGTAGTAGTGCAGCGGCCGCGGCGCACAGCCAGGGGCACGGCCCGCCGCGCAGCGCTCGCCACACCGCGGTCTTTCGTTTTCTTTTTATACGTGCGCACACGTGCGTGTATTTCTTGAGATCCACACGCTGTTCAAAATATGCGCGCGTCTTCTGAGACACGCGCTGTTCACAGTATGCACGGCGCGTCTTTTGAGACAGCAACGCCAATCGGAGATGCCGCGAGCAATTCGGGATGCGCGGAGCAACTAATATGGACTCGCGCATCTTAGGATGCTCGAGCATACCGAGGACAGCGAGCGTCTAAGTAGGACACCTACTAAACGCACTCTAATCCAGAGACGCATTCGGTAAACAAAGATGGGGGGGTCGCCCCCCCAGACGGCGAACGCGCCATTGGCGTGAAAAAGAAATGCCCGTAGGGGAAGGCGTACGCGGCGGGCGCGCCCCCTCGACCCTTCGACCACACGCCTACTCGCCGGCGCCTGGCGCGAGGGCGAGCAGCGCGAGCAGGATCTTTCGCACCCGCAGCCGGTCGAGGGTCAGCAGCGGTGTGCGCCCGCCCTCCGAGTCGCTAGACGTGACAGAGATGGGAGAATTTTCTCTCTGCATGCTACGTTTTCGTCGTGTGAGATCTCCTGAGGAACCTGACTGTCAATCATCGATCTACAAAGTAGACTCGACGAGAGCGAGCGAGAGAGAACGCTCTCAATAAACCGCTAAGAAACCCCGGCGGCATGCATGCCCGGCGGCCCAGGTCGGTGGAGGTCGGCAGGACCCCCCAGCAGGGCCCAAGGCGCGCGGCGCGAACACACCCGCGAACGCGCCATTGATTGGCGTGAAAAAGAAATGCCCGTAGGGGAAGGCGTACGCGGCGGGCGCGCCCCCTCGACCCTTCGACCACACGCCTACTCGCCGGCGCCTGGCGCGAGGGCGAGCAGCGCGAGCAGGATCTTTCGCACCCGCAGCCGGTCGAGGGTCAGCAGCGGTGTGCGCCCGCCCTCCGAGTCGCTAGACGTGACAGAGATGGGAGAATTTTCTCTCTGCATGCTACGTTTTCGTGTGAGATCTCCTGAGGAACCTGACTGTCAATCATCGATCTACAAAGTAGACTCGACGAGAGCGAGCGAGAGAGAACGCTCTCAATAAACCGCTAAGAAACCCCGGCGGCATGCATGCCCGGCGGCCCAGGTCGGTGGAGGTCGGCAGGACCCCCCAGCAGGGCCCAAGGCGCGCGGCGCGAACACACCCGCGAACGCGCCATTGGCGTGAAAAAGAAATGCCCGTAGGGGAAGGCGTACGCGGCGGGCGCGCCCCCTCGACCCTTCGACCACACGCCTACTCGCCGGCGCCTGGCGCGAGGGCGAGCAGCGCGAGCAGGATCTTTCGCACCCGCAGCCGGTCGAGGGTCAGCAGCGGTGTGCGCCCGCCCTCCGAGTCGCTAGACGTGACAGAGATGGGAGGCGCGCCGCCCGCGCCTGCGCGCTGCGCCGGCGCCCGCACCGCCAGGTCCGCGTGGCGCGCCCACAGCATGTCCGCCGCAGGGCCGGAGGCTAGGGCCGGGAGGACAGAGAGCAGCACCTGCAGTCGGAGAGGGCGCGGCCGCGCGGCGGCGAGGGCGCGTGGGTGGTGGCGGTGCGCGGAAGGGTGGTTGTGTTGGGGTGGGGGGAGGGGGGGAGGGAGAGCCCCGCGCCTGCTCCAGACGGCTCGCATGCGACGCCGAGCCAAGGCTGCCGGCGGGCGCAGCTGCTCCCGCCACGGGAGGCGGGAGGCGGTACACACGCGGCGGGGTGGCGTCGGCGAGGAGGCGATCAAGGTCGGCCCTCTGGTCGGCTCCTGATCGACGGCCCGGCGCCGCCTCGCCGCCCTCCTCCTCCTCCTCCTCCTCCTCCTCCGGCAGCGCGCTCGGGGCGATGGCAAAGGTGTTGGAGCGCAGGCGGCGGCGCGCCAGCCGGCGGAAGAGGGCCTTCGAGCTGGGCCGCGGCTCGACGATGGACATGGGCTTGAGCAGCAGCGAGGAGCGATTCGTGGGGAAGCCGTTGACGAGGATGTGCTTGTGGCCAATCACATGCCGCGCCGCGAATATCGACGGCACCAGGTTGCAGCGGTAGATGAAGCGGTCGAGGCGCGACTCGAGATCGGCGACGAAGGAGTCCATCGTGCCCTTGCGCGCGTGGAGGCGCGCAAGCTTCTTGAGCTTGTTGCCGCCCATGTGAGGCGTCGCGTACAGGATCCGCTTCTTGACCTCCATGCTGGCCTGGTAGGCGCCCTTTCGCGGGAAGAGCACGTGCAGGTGCTGGCCGTCGGCGCCGGACGAGTCGCCGCCGCGCCGGCCGCCGCCGCCGGCCCGGCTCGACAGCGCGCGCGAGACAGGGCGCGCGCGCGTGGGCAGCCGCGACACGCACGACGCCGACGAGCGGAGCATAGGGAGTTGGAATAAGAATTTTCCGCGCCGCAATCTCAGGAGCAGGAGAACTAGATGGGATGGGCTGCTTGCTGCTTGAACGGCGCTTCACTTGAATGGCGTTCGCTTCGGCCGGCCTGCCGCCGCCGGCGCTCAACGCTGCCGCTGCCGAGGGCGCGGCGCGCGGCCGCGACGGCGCGCAAGAGGCCGATGATGGCCAGAGACTCGGCGTGAAGCGCCGCCTCGACGGCGAGCTCGCGAGCGCGCGCGTCAACGACGACGACGCCAAAGAAGGCGACACCATTATGGTGGACGCTGCACAGATGGCCGCTGCGGCGGCCGCCGGCACCGACCGCGGCACGAAGCGCCTGCTGCACGTCGCGCTCGCGGCGCGCGACGGCTCGCACATCCCGGACATCCAGAACACGACGGCGCTCGTCACCGAGATTCGACAGCTTCTGAGGAAGACGCCAGGCTGCGAGGCGCAGCCGGCGAGCGCGATCAGCGTGCCCGTCATCGGCACGTCGCGCGCCATCTGCGTCGCCTTCAGCGGCGAGAGCGAGGCACGCGCCTTCCTCGAGCAGTACGCCGGCGGTGGCGTCCTACAGCTCCCAGCGCCAGACAACATCACCATCACCTTCGCCGCTCTCGACGCCACCGTGTGGGGCAAGCAGGCGGAGGCGCGCGAGACCCAGGCGACCATCGACTCCGACGGCCTCCTCGCCATACGCACGCGCGGCGCCATCAACACCGCGGCACAGATCGAGCACTTCGCCCCCCTCTTTGAGAAGCACTTCGGCAACGTGGTCTCCATCCAGGAGGGATACCACTCCTTCCTCGGCACGAAGTCGGACGAGAAGGACGGCTCGATCCTCTTCAAGGTGAAGAACGAGAACCTCGTCTGCAACCTCCCTGTCCTGCCCAACGTCTACGCGAGCGGCGATGTCGGCGGACCCCTCCGCCTCGACGTCGGGAGTGTGAAGGTGCTCGGGAACAAGCTTTGCCCATCGTGCCGCGCCTTTGCGACGACGAGCGCCGACATCATCCACGACGCGCAGTGCGGCGCGCAGGCGCTCAAGGAGAGGCGCGCCGCAGCGGCGAACGTCGCCAAGAAGAAGACCTTCGAGAGCCTCATCGTCGACAACAAGGTCGAGGTCGCGCGCGCGGCGGGCAAGGCCAAGGCGATGGCGGTGCGCGACGGGATCGGCTTCTGCCCGGCCTTCAACCAGACCGCCATCCCGTGCAAGACCGCCGCTCGCTGCCGCTACGCGCCGTGCGTCAACTTCGAGGCGCTCCTCCACTCCGCCTTCAAGGACACTATCTACGAGCGCATGCCGAGCGCGGTCAGGCTGGGCACAAGCCGCGGGCGGCGCGGGCGCGGCGGCCGCGGCCGCGGCGGCGGCGGCGGCGAGGTCAAGAGCAACAAGAAGGACTGGGCGAGCGTCGCCCGCGGAGCCGCCCGCTCCTCCTACGACGGCGGCCCACGCCTTGAGTCCAACGAGCCCTCCCTCTACGAGGGGAGCGACGAGGAGTTCTAGGAACGGCCGCCGAGCCCTTCCCGCAGCGCAACCTAGCAGCGCAGCGGGCAGGGCGGCTCGCGCAGCGCGAGCACGCACGCGAGCGACCGCGCGCGCGCGCGTTCGAGCGAGCACACACACACACACACACACACACACACACACACACACACACACACACACACACACACACACACACACACACATGTTGTACACATGCACTGACACACAGCCCCTTCCCCTTCCTCAAGGGCGAGGACACGCGCAGGGGTCGCACTTCTAGCGAGGCCCACAGAGTGGGAGACTCCTATCACCGCCACTGCCACCCACGTGTCAGTCTGCCTGTGGTAGAAGAGACTGCCGGTGAGAAGTCGGAGGAAGGTCGCTAGTCGAGAGAGATCGCCAGTGGATAGGGAGTCCACCGTGCTGCGAGCCTGTCGCTGTCCCTTGTCAGGAGCAGGAGAACTAGGAGAGCGCAACCAGTAGGAGGCCCGCGCTTGCCCCCGTGCCGCCGGGTGCAACCTGTCCTATACGAGAGAGGAATCCCTGGGACCCTGTCGTGAGGGTGAACCCCCTGCCCAGCCCCCCTCCGTGTCGCGATGCGCTCCCCGCTCCCGTTCCCCTGTGTCCCTGATCGTCCTACAAGATCCTGCTCGTGCAGGTGGGGACCCTGTCCTTCTCCCACCCCTCGTTTGGCGTGTCCGTTGTATTTATTTATTTATTAGGAGAACTAGGAGGATGCATCCGAAGGGGACCCCAGCGCCGGCATCATCCGTAGAGGCACGAGTGTTCGAAGAGAGAGTGGACCTGAGCAACAACATGACCTGTAGGCAAATGATCGGAGTGGGAGTCAGAAATGTGGTCCTTGCGCGAGGGGAGCTCGATAGACTCGAGGGGCCAGGATACGCCGCGAGGAGGACGGAGTTGCGCCGAAAGGCGAAAGAAGCCGCGAGAACAAGGGACCGGCAGGCGGCAGCGTCGCAGGACGAGGCAGAAGAGAACGACGCGACAGAGGAGGAAGTGACAAGGGAGAGAACGACGAGGGTGGGACGACCGCGAGGTGGCATGAAGGTTGCAGCGAGAATCGGCGAGAGACTGCGAAGAGAGATAGGAAGAGGCAGACTCCCTAGGGTGGGCGACGGATAGCGCACCACACACCTCTCCTTCAAATCACAGTGAGGGGATCGCGCGCCCTCCTCCCATCCGGGCCTTGGGTTGTCTGTTTTCTTTCTTTCTTTTTAGGAGAACTAGGAGAGCGCACCCAGTAGGAGGCAACGAAAGAAAGAAAGAAAACAG